CCTCTCCTCTCTCTCTCCTCTCTCTCCTCTCTCTCCCCCTGTCTCTCCTCTCTCTCCCTCTCTCCTCTCTCTCTCCCTCTCTCTTGTGTATGTATATGTGTATGTGGGCATCTGTGTATGTACGTGACTGTGTATCTGTGTATGTACGTGTGAGTGTATCTATGCATGTCTGAATATACTAGGTACAAGGAAAACCAATTATTAACTAATTCTAACATTCAGGTTGGGGAAATGATAATACATGACAGTGATAATAACTACAACAATGTAACAACAATAGTTCAATGATTTTTTAAAAAGCTAGCAATAACAATCTGTACTATTACTACTAGGTATACGTTATACAGTGTATTACTACTAGGTATCAATAGTAATGACAAACAGAGGTCAAAGTTGAGAGTACAAGTAGTAATTTACTACTAGATATCAACTGTAATGACAAATGGTTGAAAACATGGAGTTTACTGATGTTTTTCTTTTCTATCCGTAGCTCGTCCTTCAGTGTCGCTACCGTACACGAATGCCATCGTCGAAGCCGGAAAGGACATCACGTTCACGTGCACCGTCACGAGTTACCCGCCATCCAACGTCACATGGGAACATCCGGATGGAACACGGTCCTCTGGTGATGTACTGCGCCTGCGCAACGCTACGTCACAGAGTCAAGGACAGTACCGCTGCTCGGCTGATAATGGCTTTGGGACAGACATGCAGTATGTCAATCTTGTGGTCCAAGGTAATAATTCAACGTATTTTTTTAGTATCTTTTACTATTACAAACTACAATTTAAAACTGCATACCTAAACTCACACAGACGCATGCGCTCCATTGTGCCCCTCAGCCGGGCACAAAAACACACACACACACACACACACATAGAGAGACAGATACACACACACATACACACACAGTCATACACATGGTTACACACCATATGCATGCGACCACACACACACATATGTACACACCATACATATGCATGCAACCACACATACTATCTCACACACACACACACACACACAGACACACACACACACGTGAGATAAAAAAGAGACAATTTTAGGAAGATTTAGAGCAAATGCCCACCCACCCACACACTCACACTCATACTCTCACACACACAAACACACACACGAATGCACAATTACACAGTCAGATTCCTCTTGTACAGCTTTGTTGTTATCCTTTCCCGCTGCTATATTCAATAAGACATCCCCTCCAGCAGTCATTACGTAGGGATAATAAGTACAAGTCGCATCCCTGTATTTAATCCATCCTTTGTCTTCATAAATTTCTTAATGATGGACCCAGCGTTGTGTGTGAAATTTTTAATCATCTTATTTATCGGCCTTAAGGTCACACTCACATCTGCAGAAGATAAAAATACTAATGCGAAAGTTAGTATATTTCTGTTTCAGACTTGCCCAATTTAAACTTTAATTTGATGTTTTCTTCTTTTAAAAAAAAAAAACTACATCCCATCAAAGTGGTTTATTATTATGTTTCATGCCACATTGTCCTCTTCTGTGCAACTAAATATACCAAAATGAAATGTAGTATTTATTTCCTTCGCACAGCTTGTAAGCACCCCCTAGTGATGACTGTTGGTACTGCAGTTATGTAACCTTTACCTAATATTATTCTTACTTTTGCAGAACCAACCAGGAGCCCACCTGCAGGACAGACTGGTAAGGAGAATTTAATCCTTGTTTGCATTACGTGTGGTATTAACAATATGGCTTTCCTGATGTGTGTCGTGTTTCTCCTTACTGCAAGTCTGTCTTGACCACCTGTTAATGGCTTCTAGTTTACATTTATTTAAAAATCCTTCTGCAATAATTCCTACATGTATTACTTGAGAATAGATGTAATTTGAAAGAATAAAAAGTACTACAAACTGGTAATTAGTAGGGGAAAAGGTGACTTGAGTGGTGCTTATGGTCTTTACTGTGGTCAAGATAGCCATTATGCAGTGTTTCTTTGTGCTTTTTAATACTCAATGACTCTTGCCAGCTTTTTCACCTAACCGTCAGCCAAATTTGAATGCACCAATGAAATTGAACAGTTGAATTCGATCTGACCAACCACGCCCCTTCTTCTTCTCTGTTTAAGACCCGGCCAGAACTAGTGATCAACCAATCAAAACGCGAGGGCCACAGACCGCAGAAGGTGATTTGATACGTTCCTTTTCATTTCTTGTTGACCTCTCTAGACATTCGCTTTTAGCATTCACTCTGAACCTGACAAAATTGGACATTTTTTACAATACCTTACTAGCATAGCTGCGGTCCCCTAAATGTAGTGAATTCATATTTTTCCCAGTTCCCATAATGCACCATCAGTTGAATGCAAAACAGGAGTTTGTCAGATTTTACGACCGTCACAGTAAATTTTATCAATGAATGAAAAGCAGCAAAACTATAAAATCTTGAGTTGGCAGATGTAGCAGAGTAGTAGCAGAGTTAGTTAGACAGGCTTTATACACAAAAGTGGGCCTCCAATGGTGCATTATGGAAAATTTTCCATTAATTAATAAGTTCATAGAACTATTTTCCACTTAACCTTCGCATGTGTTTCACTCCAAACGTAGAGCTTCACAGAGCTAAAACGTGTGATCCTTTCTTGTGAGTTTGTTGTCGTAGCTATATACTAATAACTAGTGACGCAACACTAGACTGAGTACAGACTGTGTGGGATTCATGATTGTAAGTTGAAGGACCGAAATTAGCAAATAAAAGAAAACAAACATGACAATAAAGGAGGTAAACACACATTATAACACCTACACAGACACACAGTCACACACATAAACACACACACTGAATAATATATAATATACATTTCATGTATCAACACACACACTGACACTCACATACGCATACACACATATTCACACACACACACACACACACACACACACACACACACACACACACACACACACACACACACATACACACACACACACACACACACACATTACAACCATCTCTGCTGGACAAGCATACCCAACCAAAACAATACTCCCATGTAACCTCCCAGTGAACAGCAATGTACTGACATTTCATTACAAGATTTCCATTGGTCAACTTTTAACCTGAGTCACTTGTCCGTATGTTGTTAACTCCAGGTGCATCAGGTGGTCTGACCGGTGGTGTGATCGCCGCCATTGTTGTGGTGTGCGCCGTGCTGGTGTTGGCAGCCGTCATGGCGGCCGTCATCTTCCTCATGAAGTCCAAGAAGAAACACCAGCCGGAGAAACCCGTCGGTAAGACATTGTAACTACAGTAGTTAAATGTCGATGACTAAGCTTGGCCGGTCATGTTGTACGTAGTGAAGAACCAGCCAGCTAAGGCTTCTACTCTGGAACCCTGACACAAAAAGAAGAGTTCAGGTCGGCCAAACGTAATAAGAAACTTATAGAAACTGAAACAGGCTTGCAGGGCCTGGAACTTATCTCTGCAATGAAGGACAGAAAGTTCTGGAGGTCTAACTTTGTATGCTACACCTCGGAGGAGGATGATTAATGATGATGATGATGAAGACATTGTTGCTGTCATGGAGACAATAAAATTAAAGTATCATTTCAAAAGAAAACGACACTCGATGACATTAAGACACCTTTTTTACAGCTGTCATGTACTTATGAATCATATCTGTGATTTTTCTTGTTGCTAGATATAGCAAGACAACGGTTACAACTGACAGTGTCTTTTTTCTTGTTCCACAGTTACTGCCTCACCAGTGAAAGAGAAAGCGGCACCGGCTGATGACTGGGATCTGACTTCCACCAGGTAAAAGATGGCATCACAAGTTCAGTTAAGGAGTATACTGTGCAAAGAAACTAATAGATTTGCCTTTACACTTTACGCTTTTATTGCTAAATTTATTATGAAAAGACTTGTTAGACATTAAGTAAATAGGAAAAACTTTCAGAATCTTTGTTTCACACTATGAATTTCTTTTACAAATCGATGCTGATACATTGCATTGCTCATTTATAGATTTGATTGAGATACTTTCATTTGATTTCTTTTCTTTGCATTAACATTTAAGGTGACAATAATTTTTTTAACTATAACCATTTAAAAGGCTGGTAGGGCTCAGTTCCAGTTGACGCAGGTAAAAAAAAACTGAATTTTTCGTTACTTTTATTTGTTTCCAGACGTCCAGAGAATGGCGTCAACGGCAACGGTCACATCGCGAGACCTGCAGCGGAGGGGAAGCCTGCAGACCTCTACTACTCAGAGGTGCCACCTAGGGACTCCAGGGATTACTACACCCAGCCGAGCAGACAGCCACGCCCTGGTGATCCCTACTGGACTCCCTCCCCTCCCCCCTCTCAGTCTGGGTGGTCCAGCCCACCGCAAAGTCCTTCGGTAGGTCGACTGATGTTTTGATGTAATAACTATGTTTTTTATTTTTTTATTTGGTTTGATGTTTGTTTTTTATTGTGTTGTGTTAGTTAACGTGAACTTGAATTACTATTGAAAAGACAGTAGATGAATTGTTACACATAACATGGACTACTAGCTGGATGAATAGATAGACTGAATAGATGGGTGGATAGATATTAGATAGATTATCATAGATAGATAGATGGATAAATAGATAGATACTATATACTCTGTATACCTGTAGATAGATACTGGATGGATGGATGGATGGATGGATGGATGGATGGATGGATGGATGGATGGATGGATGGATGGATGGATGGATGGATGGATGGATGGATGGATGGATGGACTGATATATGGTTAAGTTGGGGCTTTGTGGATGTACAGACATTTTTATGTACAGTCAGCCTTTTTCAAGATGTAGAGTCTACATTCAACTTATTTCTTCACGTTTACATACAATGTAGGAACAGATATTATAGTACACACTAACAGTTTGTCACCCCCCCCCCTTCCCCACACCCAGGCTGACCTTGACTATGTCCACATGACCCTCCAGCACGCTCCAGCTGGCAGCAGGCGACCAATCGTGGGCATGGTGTACGACGCTTGAGTGACGTCATCACGGTGTACAACAGTCACACAGACTGGCATTGTCGCGTAGAAGAGAGGTCTGTAGTTGAAATAGACAAGAAAGATATCTTATTAACAAATATCAAAATTTGCAAGTAATTCAAATACCACACGTATTTGGTGTACGCTAAACTTTTCACTGAACAGATGTCGGAAAGGAAAATCATATCACCTTCTGACCTTCCCCTTCCCCTTTTTGGTGGAGGAGAGACTGAATGTCTTAGTTTCCGATATCTGCTTGGAGATTAGGCACAGTCAGCCTACCTTTAACAGGTTAATTTTTTTAAAAAGAAAGTTTTCAAAAGAAAGTTCTAGTCTTGTTGCTGTAACCATACATTTCCAAGACCTTACATGTCATTTTAACAATGATGTTGTTGACAACATGTTTGAGATTATGTTTAAAAAAATGTGTTGTACATGTTTGTGTTTTACATTTTACAGAATGGTCCTATACATTCAAGTGCATTATCTTTGCCAGATTCTGCAATGAAAATGTATGTAAGTTTTTGTTAGCTGTGAATAATTAGTGGATACATGTAGCTGTTCAGATTGTAGGTTAAAAAAATTAAAATGGTGATTTGCGAGCATTTCTATATGTGTAGAATACTAGTACATAAAAAAAATGTTGCCCTACTTTTAATAAAATGCTCCATACAACTGATTTCAAAGGGTGTTAAAGGTGATAGACATTAAAAAATTATGCATAATTGTTACAACAATTAACCTGCTTGTTGTCTGTTATTAGAGGTCACCATAGTTGTTGTTGTCTGAGGTAACTATCAAATTCCTTAAAACAAAAATGTTCAATTGATACTGAAATTCATTCCTATTGAACAAAATGGAATAGTACTGTATGGTGGATTTATACAATTGTTGATATTTTTCGTGTGACAGTACCATATATATGAATATCATCAGACAATAAAGATGAAGAAAATGTTCATCTTTTAACAAGGTTGTAAATAATGGCAATATATATGTATTGTGTGAAGACAATCAAATTATGGCAATGGAGAAAGTTTGATGCAATTTAACATGTTATCCAGCTTTTAAATTCAAATAGATGGCTTACTTTAAGGCACTTATATGTGTGTTACATTTTACAATGGTTAGAGGAAACTTGTTAATTTTGATAGTCTTTTTGTAGCTTTTTTCTTTATCAAAAGTTTACTTTTTAAAGTAGGGGAAGATTTTAAGTAGTAGGTATGTTAAATTTTTGCTGGGCTAAAATATTGCAAACATGTATATATCAGAGTTCATTTGTATATCTGTAAGAAACCATTGCAATTTCAAATAATTTTTTGTATCCTTACTTACTGGTTAGATATTTTACTTTTTGTTATTAACATATAAAGCCATGGATATTATGTATATGGGGAAAGTGTTGTGAATAAATGATTAAAACTGAAAAATCATAATTGTGTTTTAATTTAGTTTAGTTTTGGTACCCTAAACACTGTAGATTGATTTTCCTGTGTGTGGAAGGTGTATTCAGCACCAAGGACAGGCTTGCCTGTGTGTTGTGGAAGGTGTTTATTCTTCCACAGAAAATAGTCTCCCTGAAAATAAATGAATTTACAGTAATATGAAAATTAATATATTATTAAGTGACTAGCACCGAGACGGGCCGTCATTGGTCGTCATAATTAGATTATCAGCTTCACATTAATTAGGCAAGACTGTTCTGCACACCTGTGTAAAAACAAGTTTGGTATCGTCCATTCAAGATGGCGTCTTCGTGCGACGGGAATATTCTGGGCTGATTTTTGTACAACTTTCTGAGTAGTTTTTAGAGTTTCCGTCCGTAAAATATTTTTCCTAAGTGTGCAGCAGAATCTTAGGGAGCTTTCGCGGTGGATTTTGTGCCGTTCTGGTGATGTTATGAAGAGAAAATGCGGATTTCCTGACCTGGCGAATTTTGGAGAAGACAACTAGATGGCGCATGGCGTGACAGTTGGGAAGAGTAGCGTGGTATGGAGACGACTTCGTTTATTCTTGCAGGTAAACCAGCAAATTGTTTGACCGATATTATTCCTTAGGAACTATAGTACGGACATGTCAAGTTATATTCCGTAATAAATGACCTATTTCTGTATTAGAGAGCGACCGTTCCAAATTTTACACTAGCTTTGAAAAAGTCCATGAAGTTGCCGCGTTTTCAACAAAATTTTCAATGTGCAGTGCGCTTGTAGAGTATTAAATGTATGTGCATGTCTTTGTAGTCAATTGTTCAGCGCTTTGAGGTCAATTTGTTGGAAGAAATTGCGCATTGACCAAAAGTTTTTCTTTATCTCCACCTGGTTCAAAACACCTGTTGGAATGTACACGTGTAATACATAATTAATTTTTGATGATCCCGCCAAAATCTTGCGTAAACAAGATGGCGTCCTCAAAGCTTCAAGGTGCCGAAATGACTACGATATAAAACGTTTTGAAAGTTCTGTCGAGTTGACCATACTTTCGTTCTTCATTATCATTTGCAACGTATTATGTGTAATTTAATATCTTGTTCGTTTCCATTTTAGACTGATTCTGTAATTGTAATGAGTATTTGACTACGCTAGAATTTTTAATAATTATAAGGTCGCAATTGCTGTATTCAAAACATTTACTTTGAATTTATATGTAACGTTATTCTACTTAAAGATTCAGTTGATGCGGTTTCATATATTTTATTATTGATGTTGCTATCCCATTTTTTAATGGTCATTTGACATAGAATTTTTTAGGTATGTTGTAAAGTAAAGAAACGTTGTTGTTTTAAAATCTTCTTCTTTTTAATTTTAGACTGATTCTGTTTTTATTAGTTTTCTGATTTTAGTCTGAAACTATTTCTTCTTTTTATAGAATCCTGTAGTGAACTGTGCTCTAAGGGTCAGCAACCTGTGCAGGAGTATTGGGCCAGGTGAGAAAAATCTGAATTCTACATTTTACCTACAGCTATTTGGTATTTTTTGAGGCAAGTGTGTAACTTGTAATGTCTGTATATAGGTGGCTGCTGACTGATGCAGTAGTGGGGACTCCTGTCTGAACCTGACAAGACAGATTGGACCAGACCAGATGATTTGAAGACCTCGGATGACTTAGTATCAGGTGAGAAAAATCTGAATTCTGCATTCAATCTACTATAATTTACTTTGTTACTTGAGATAAGTGTGTAACTTGTAATGTCTGTATAGTTAGGTGGCTGCTGACTGATGCAGTAGTGAGGACTCCTGTCTGAACCTGACAAGAAAAGATTGGACCAGACCAGATGATTTGAAGACCTATGATGACTATCAGGTGAGAAAAAGCTGATTTCTGCATTCAATCTACTATTTACTTTGTTATTTGAGGCAATTGTGTAACTTGTAATGTCTGTATAGTTAGGTGGCTGCTTACTGATGCAGTAGTGAGGACTCCTGTCTTAACCTGACAAGAGAAGATTGGACCAGATCGGGTGATTTGAAGACAGAGATGCCAGAGCTCAGCAAACCAAATGACTTGAAACTGAAGACAGAGTGAAGAGTTTGTACAGGTGAGACAATGCTTTACAAATTTTTTCTATGTGTTAAGAACTAAGAGGCAATAACATACAACAAAATGTACTTTTTAACACTGTGTACATTTATTCAACCAAAGGGATAGTTTAATTTTGGGGACATCACACTAATTATTGATTATATTAGTTAGGTGTATCCTGACGTTCCTGTCCTGACTGGGAGAAACCTGTGATGATGGATAACTTCTGCCCACACCAGACCAGATGACTTGAAGACAAAGTGAAGAGTTTGTACAGGTGAGAGAACTTGCCTTTCGCCTTACCTTTTTATTTCTGATTTGTTGAGAAGTAGTAATATTTGTGTAAAACACCTTTCCATAGCCAAAGACTTTCTACATCTATTCTTTCAACCTTGAAGCAGCTACTCCAAGCACTTAATTCATTTGATGAGATTTTTCTACAAAAAAACTTCATATGATTTCTTATTATCATACTGGAACTCTCTCAGACTTCACACTTTATAATAATAACACATATAAAACCAGTAACAGATTAAAACAGCTTTATATATTGAGCATTCATCAACATTTCTAGGCAAAGAGGCAAAGTAACCAATCACATGCACGCTTATATCATCTTTATTTAGTCACTTATTGCCTTGTTTTTATGTCATTTTTTATCAGGTGTGTCCTGAGGGTCAGCAGTTAAGTCTTGATGTTCCTGTCCTGACTGGGAGAAACTTGTGATGACCGGCGACTTCTGTCCAGACCTCTGCAAACCAGTTAACCTGAAGACACAGAGTGAAGAGTTTGTACAGGTGAGATAACACTTCAAAATTTACATCGATGTTATATTTCTCTGAGTCATTTCACAATTCTCGGGTATATCACAATTAGTGCTGCATACTTATACCTCATCTAGGTTCAGGTCCGGAATTGTAAGTCTGGACCTAAACTCATGACATATGCCATTTGCATGTTAGCATCCTTGCAATGTTGTTTGGGCAAAACTTTGGCCACGTAACATTTGACGATGCCCAATGGCAATGTTTTCTTCATTTTGCAGCACAGATTTTGCAATCTATGGAAAGTTTTAGGTGGTTTGGAAAGAAAGGGGGTATGTGACATGTTTTCTTTTTGTAATAAGTCTGGAATCGGTTCTTGACTCTTAGGTTTTTTGGGACTTGAACCTTATATTTTTACAAGTCCGGAACCAGTCCAGCAAACCGGTACACAGCACCAATCACAATATTATTAATAGATTGACAACTTTCTAGAGCCTAGGATTTTGTACATCTATTGGAGCAAATCGATTGTCCAATTGTGCTAATTCTATCACAGTATATTTAGTGGTCATTCAGTGATTCACCATTAACAAATCCGTTCATATTGGTAGGTGTGTCCCGAGGGTCAGCTGTCCTGACTGGGAGAAACCTGTGATGATGGGTGAGTTCTGTCCAGACCAGCAAACCAGTTGCCCTGAAGACTGGAAAGAAGGACCAGACTTTGACCAGTAAAGCAGTGAGAGAAGACACAGGCTGGGGTAGTTGTGAGTATAGTTTATTTGTATAACACAACCAAGTACACACACTTGCATACATGCATACATTTCTATCCCTACCCTCCA